CTAACAAGAACCTAACTCAAAGGCAGTAAGTGGAGGCTCATTTACTTGGATCAATTACTCTTCCACTGCTTTTTACCGACTGAACATCAAATTGCAGTCGATCCCCCAACCTGGAGGACTAGGAGACTGAACTTCTTCTTATCTCTACCCACTGACCTTCCAGGCATGATAAGATCTGGCTTGCCAAAAGCCATCCCGTGTAGCTCGTGGGGTCAGGGCGGTGAACAAGCCAGCACGTCAAGGTGCAGTCGCATCGTGATGGTTGGTGAATGAAAATTCGAACTTGTTGTTCTCTGCTCCACAGTAGAATGCGCTTCATTATCTAATTTATTTCGAAGGAAGCTTCATGAAACCACATCCAGGAAATCCGTGTGGCGCCCACTGTTATTGCCTTAAACACCGGCGGTGTATCCTCAACCTGGTACCAAATCAGCCTGATTTTTACGGATATCTCATTTGTTTTGAGGGTGATTTTAGCAAAGCTCATTCTTTTGAGCCCCACGCACGATACTCAATTTAACCAGGCAACCACACACTTGGAAGAACTAGAGTGCAGTTTCCCCGCATTATAGCTCATCAGCAGTGCACACACATTTCTGTGCTATGGGTCCGGAGAGGACAGTCTGAATGCACAGCTGATGAACTCTAATAAGAACGAAACGAGTCTGGTGCTACCGAATGTTGGCTGGTGTACTGAGGATTGTGCGTGAGGGTAAGGTCCGGAGGATGGTCAGTTCAAATCAACATCAATTATCCCGAAACACTACTCACAAGTAGTTGAGAGTTAAATGCGAAGAAAGCTTATTCCCTGTAATTTTCACAAGACTATACCTCGTCTCTGGCGGCGTGGTCAGGTATCATCACCCACCCGAAACTTGTTCGATTTCCAACATTGAACCTAGGAGGTTGGTAAGCCCCATGATTAAAAAAAGCCTCCATGTTAGAAATGTCGATGGATACACTACGTCAGGACACCTTATAACTTTGGACGTGATTTTTATGCTCAGTAAGATAACCGCGAGACGAAGACAGGATGGATAATCACAACGGACAAGACACAATATATCTATGGTCATTTTGCTGCATACAAATGTACATATACATACTACTTCCCCGAATAATCTATATTTTACATGGAGGAATTATGACAGTTTGCATTAGATGCCCGTTAGGGGCAAGAGTTGGTGAATCTGTGTTCCGTTCATTTGCTCCACATAGCGTCGCAATGAGTTAGTGCATGGCCCCTTACAGCAGTCAGTGGAATTGTTCTCAGGTTATCGATTTCCGGTGTCTTTTCTGCGGTTGTTGGAGTAAGCAAAATCTGGCTCGCAAAAAAGTGTGGTTCATATCCACATCTGTTAGCTATTGAAAGCCTGTCTTAAATGTACCCCGACCAAAGGTAGCTTATAGGAATGAGGTCAGATCTTATTCATCGCTTGAAGAGGAGGGGGATAACTTTTGTCCGAGAAGTCTACACTTGGTAGGAACAACCCGTGATCTACTCACAGTTGCAGTACGTTATCTCTATCAGTTTCAGTTTGAACAACCATTAACCATGC